TGTGTGTGCGTGTGTCTGTGTGTGTGTGTGTCTGTAACAGTCGCAAATCCCTACCTGTGCTTTGGGTCGCATCCTCTCGGCCACGTACGCAATCTTATCCTCCGCATCGTTGAAGCTGAACCCCTTGAACATTGCATCTGTATAAACAGGGCCATGCACCTCCTTGTCCACAGAGATGGTGCACATTAAATCGTCGTAGCCCCATACGTCAATCCTGTATTCACCCTAAGCACGTGCAAGTGGGGAGTATGCACAAGGTGATCATATTTTAAGTATGCTGCAGCCGAATCCTCTGGCTATCTACTTCGGCGAAGTGAAGTTTATGTGAACAAGGCCAGATTGAAGACCGGCTTCCATATATATATATATATATAATCCTCCTGGGACTGGGTATGAAATCGAGCCCGGGTATCTACACGGAATTAGTAGTACCAATGGATGCTTGCACAAGAAACACGATAAAACAGACAGAAAGGCCATACACCGAAAACCGGGACGAATACGCGACGCAGGCAAGGTACCAATCCTACCACGCAACAACCGTCAGGTGCAATCTGTCCCAGCCCCCTGCACCCCAAAAAAATGTACTTTGGACATCAACATTTACGGCCGTACAACGCCTGGATGACAGGGCAACACAACATCTGGACATGGAGCAAGGCAGCGCCTGCAACCAGGGCAACACACACAGGCTGAATACACAGCGATCTATCGTCTAAATATAGCACAACGTGATATCTACATAGAGAGTAAAGTAACCAACCAGAGCAACATACACAGGTTGAATACACAGTGATCTATCGTCTAAATATAGCACAACGTGATATCTACATAGAGAGTAAAGTAACCAACCAGAGCAACATACACAGGCTGAATACACAGCGACCTATCGTCTAAATATAGCATAACGTGATATTTACACAAAGAGTAAAGTAACAGCCGGATTTTAGAGTACGGGCCAGACCTGAGACTAACGTCACACCGAAAGAAACAGAACCACACCGTCTGGTTATGGAGCCATGCAGCATGCAACTCCCAAGCATCACGACATCTAGACATAGACCAACACCACACCAGGATCTACGGTCGCGCGCAAGATCTAATCATCTGAGTAAAGCAGGCTATATAAAAACTGAAGATAACGTAACACAATACTATAAATAGAACGCCCGAAACAATTTCGCATTCACCTTGTCCTTGTCGACCAGCGCGAGTGTAGCCTTGGCCTTTCCGCTGCGCGAGTGCGTTGTCATGACAACGTCCTTGCTGATCTCCACAGGGAGTGCCACCACCTCGAAGCCAACCCCATCATCATCGACAGCTGTCTTGATGTACGTAGCCTCGAATTTGCGCGTGGTTGAGTTGTACGGGTCCGTTTGGGTACGCTGAGCGGTGACGGCTGCGTGTGCGTTATGCGTTGGGATATACAGCACTTGTCCAAATTGCTATATGCAAAATGAAATTAAAAGGGTTTGCAGTCAAGATATCGTAGATAGTCAATATATTATTGGATCGTGGATGTGTTTATATGAATGCATAAGAACACTAATATATACATATATATATATATATATATATATATATGTGTGTGTGTGTTTATA